TACTACAAAGCGATAATAATCAAAACAGCATGGTACTGGAACAAAGGCAGAACTGCAGACCAATGGAACAGAGTTGAATACACTGACATCTCCCCTCAATCATATGATCATCTAATCTTTGATAAAGGTGCAAGAAATATGAAGTGGAGTAAGGAAAGCCTCTTTAACAAATTGTGCTGGCATCACTGGACGGCTACATGCAAAAAAATGGGCTCAGAACTCTGCCTAACACCATGTACAAAGGTAAGATCAAAATGGATTAAAGACCTCAACATCAGACCAGAAACCATAAGGTACATTGAAGACAAAGTTGGCAAAACCCTCCATGACATTGAGGCTAATGATATTTTCAAAGATGACACGCCACTGGCTGAGCAAGTGAAAACAGAGATAGATAAATGGGACTATCTTAAACTAAGAAGCTTCTGTACCTCCAAAGAAACAGTGACCAAAATACAAAGACAGTCTACAGAATGGGAAAGAATATTCGCCGAATACACGTCTGACAAGGGGTTGATATCAAGGATATACAAAATACTGGTTGAACTCCACAAGAAGAAAACATCCAACCCCATCAAAAAATGGAGCAATGAAATGAACAGAAACTTTCTCAAAGAAGAAATCCGAATGGCAGAAAAAGCACATGAGAAAATGCTCTACATCATTAATCATCAGGGAGATGCAGATCAAAACCACAATGAGATACCATCTCACACTTCAGAGACTGGCCCACATTCAAAAGAACAAAAGCAACCGTTGCTGGCGCGGATGTGGCGAGAAAGGGACACTCCTTCACTGTTGGTGGGAATGCCGACTGGTTCAGCCCTTTTGGAAAACAGTATGGGTGTTCCTCAAAAAATTAGAAATTGAGCTCCCATTTGACCCAGCGATACCACTCCTGGGAATATATCCCAGAGAGGCAAAAATGTGTAGCAGAAGTGACATCTGCACTTATTTGTTCATTGCAGCACTCTTTACAGTAGCCAGAAACTGGAAGAGACCTGAGTGCCCAAGAACAGATGACTGGTTAAAGAAACTTTGGTACATCTACAAAATGGAGTACTATGTAGCTCTTAGAAAAGATGAAGTCATGAACTTTACATACAAGTGGTACAATATGGAAAGTATCATGCTAAGCGAAATGAGTCAGAAAGAGAGGGATAGACATAGAAAGATTGCATTCATCTGGGGGATATAAAATAACAAAATATGAGATTAATACCCAAGAATAGCTGAGATCAACACCAGGAGGATTACTCCATAGCTTAGAGGCCAGCCTGGTATTCTAGGGGAAAGGACAGTTCAGATAGAAAAGGGAACACCAAATGGAGGGTGTTTGGAGGATCCTCCCAGGAGGGGAGATGCAGGTTGAAAGTAGACTGGACTGAACATGTTCGCCACTCAATGCCTCTTTTGCTGATCACAACACCCAAAAGGAGAGAGAGAACAAAAGGGAATGCCCTGCCACAGTGGCGGGGGGGATGGGGGGATGGGGGGGATGGGGGGGAGGCATATTATCCTGGTGGTGGAAAATGGGCACTGGTGGAGGGATGGGTATTTGATCATGGTATGACCGAAATCCAAGCACAAAAATTTGTAAATCTACAACTGTACCTCGTGGTGTTTCACTAATAATAAAATAATAATAATAATAATAATAATAATAATAAAAACTTTAAAATAAAAAAAAGAGATCTGAGTAGAAGTCATGAATAGTCTTCTCCATTGCGTTCTGGAAGATGTGATAGATCCATCAGGACGTCGTAGGGCAGTCATCTTGGTCTTGGCGAAGGACAGGTGGGCGTTATGAATACTTTTCCTCGCTTCTGTCGCATCTACCAGCACTTTTGCTCTTCTCTCTCTGAGGTCTTCCTTGATCGCATCTCTACACTGCTTTGCGACCTCGGACGTTTGCTTGCGGTTGCCTGAGGCATGCGCCAAACCACGTTGGCGAATAAGCTCAAGAGTTTTCAAAGACAGGCGTTTTTTTGTAGCTCTCTCTATCTTGGCGTTCCTCGCACAATCGTAGAGGTGCTGAACCAGTTGATCATATTCCTCGTCAATGTTGTCAACAATGGCATCTTCCCATGTTGCCACAATAGTACCAAAGAGCTCCCAGTTGGTGGTCGTTCTGGGAGTTCTCTTTTTAAACTTTGCAGCCCTTTCTCCCTGCTCTGTGAAGTAGAATTTTGCACGAAGGAGACAGTGGTCCGATCCCGTTTGGAATTTTGGGACAACAGCTATATCGGTCAGGCAAAACCATCGATTGAATATGATGTGGTCTATTTCATTGTGGAATCATCCACCGGGAGAATCCCATGTCCAACGTTTAGATTTGGCCTTCTGGAATCTTGAGTTACCATGGATGGTCTTGGTCGACATGATGAACTCAGACAGTCTCTCACCCTGTTCGTTCCATTCTAGGCCATGGGTCCTGATGTGAAGTTCTTCAGCTGATCTTCTCGGTCCTATGTTGGCATTAAAATCACCCACAATGATCTTGTAGAAGGTGTGGTCTTCTTTATAGAACTTCTCCAGCTCCATGTAGAACTTCTCAATTTCTCCTGCATCATAATTGGATGTTGGTGCATAGACAACGAAGATAGAAACTGCTGCAGTGAGCCACATCTATTCAAATGTAAACGTCCAATTCAGGTTGTTAGGCATTCCAATGAATCAATGTTCATGACCAAGTTTGTGTTGACAAGGACACCGACGCCTCTGACACCTCTTTTATCGCATGTTCCGAGGAACAATTCTTCTCCAGTGTCGAAAACGGCGTGATGAGATTGGTGCCTTCTTGTCTCGGTCAGACCAATGATGTTGTACTTGATCTTTTGCTCTTGTACCATCAGGTCCTCGATGGATGCATCTGATGCTAGCGTAGGTGCATTGAAAGTAAAGATGATCATTTTTGTCTTCCTTCGTTGTGGCAGCCTAGTTTGGCCTGTGATTTTATCGGCCTCTCCTTTCTCATCCTTCTCAATGCTGCCATATTGGTGATGCCTTCAGGGTCAGGGGAATGAGACCCATTGTAATTACTGGTTTTAGCATATCGAACACACAACGGATAGCTTGTGAGACTCTGCTGTGCAGGCAGAATACTCTTGGTAGCTTGCTAGGCTTTCTGAGAAGGATAGAGGCTTTTGGGGCCACCTCTAATCGCTCTTTTAGGTGTTACCATATTTGAACCCTATCAAATATGGTACAGCAATTCTGGAAGGTGGGTATTTAGTGTCTCATAATGTGTAGCTTGCGGCCGCACAGGTTTGGAAAGCTTCCTGGAGTGTGGCTGCAGCTGGGTAGTGGAGGTAGTGAAGGTAGTGGAGGTCTGCCAGTGAGGTATTTATCCGGTCCCGGTAGGGGTAGGGTGGGTCTTCTGTGCGCAATCCAATCCCTGGGTCTCTGGTGGTTGGTGAAGCAGACAGGGCAGGGTAGGGTGGGGCTCCTGATTTTAATCCCTTCATCACCTGTGGTTGGTGAGAGCAAGCAGAGAATCTCTGCTACCTCTACTACCTCCACTACCCAGACGCCGCCACACTCCAGGACACTTTCCGGACCCGTGTGGCCGCTCCGGCCAAGACTCATGCACAACTGAAGCCCCACAGAACAAGGTAAGCGGAACTCTGAGACCTTGGACTCCAGGCTCAACGGACCCAGGGACAGCATTATTCATAATGGTAAAAATGTAGGAACAAATGTTTTTACCTGATGAAGTGATAAATATGATAAATCCATACAAATTAGGATATTTAGTCATGAAATTAATATCTGGTGTACTGTGACATGGATTAAACTTTAAAACATTATGTCTAGTCACGATCTGAGTGTTAAAAGTAGGTAAAGAGATATTCTTGATAACATTTCAGTATCAATAGGAGAGAGAGAAGAAGAAAAGCGCCTGCCATAGAGGCAGGCAGGAGGTGGGGGAAGTGATGGGAGGGAATCTGGGGACACTGGTGATGGGGAATGTAAACTGGTGGAGAGCTGGGTGTTGGCATAATATATTACTGAACTCTAATCATGAACAACTTTGTAAGGGTCTATCTCACAGTGATTTAATAAAAATGTAAAATAATTAAAAAGTAATTCAGTAACGAAAGGCTACTGGCTATATTATTTTATTAATCTGAAATTTCCAGAATAGGTAAATCTATTAGAAATAAAATCATATTGTTATTTGTCTGGATGTGGGAGAGAGAAGGAGTATATGAAATAACTAACACAAATAGTTTCTTTGGGAGGTAATAAAAATATTTTGGATCCATATATTTGTGGTCATTGCATAATCTTGTGAATATACAAAAAGTGCTCAATTGTACACTTTATAATGGTAGTACAGGGGAATAGTACAGTTGGTATGGCACTTGCTTTCCATGTGGCAAACCTATTCAGTCCCTGGAGTAATACTTCCAGGAGTAATCCCTGAGCACAGAGCCAAGAATAAGCACTAAACACTGTCTGGTGTGCTCTTCCGCCCCCCCCCAACACACACACACAAAGGTATGGGTAGTATACTAATACTGTATCACTGTCCTCCCGTTGTTCATAAATTTTACTCAAGTGGGCACCAGTAACGTCTGACAATAAATGGTGAGACTTGTTGTTGCTGTTTTTGGCACATCGACAAAGAATTAAAAATTGTACTTCTAAAATTTTCATTTGTTATTTTCTTGAACACATTCATTAATGTATACGTTGCTTCCTGGTTATTTTTAACCCCTTCTGTCATTATCATTGTGATTTTTGGGATTGTGCATGCTTGGCACACTCCATTAGTTGTGATTTGCGTGCTCATTCTGATTGTAGCCTTTGTTTTTTGAATAGTTTTATTTTGAATGTTAGTGGGCATGGATGCTAATTATAAAAGTTTCTTTCACCATTGCACATAGTGCTCATACTGGTACCAGTGTCCCAGCTAGTCTATCATATGATGTCGCATAGTCAGCATGTCAGTATTGTGGTATTAATGGAGATTACCTCTTCTCCTCCCACTCCAGGTTCCTTGAGGACAACAATTGGAACTACAGCACAGCTTTTCAGAGCTTCACTGTGATGAAGGTGAGGACTGAGAATCAAGTAGATTAAAAGTGAAAGCTTTTGGGTTTCTGAGAAGGCCAGGAAGATGGAGGTCAAGAGGCCTGGGAATGAAATCCAGGGAATCTAGCTTTTCTGACTTACAATTTCTTTCTTTCCAGACTGAGGGAAAGATCCCAGAAGAGGCTTTTAAAGAAACTCCCTAAAGGGAGCCTTTGGATGTTATCTTTATCTACAGCATAAATGATTCTCTTTTCTCCAGCTTATGCTCAAACCCATGCCTGGGGTTGACTGTTCAAGAAGCCTGAAATACTTTATAAGCCATGTAACATAACACCTGAAGGAATGCTTTTTTTCTCTGTATTTTTCCCCAAACATATTTACGTTTTATTTTCAAAATAAAGAGAAGCTGCATGATGTGAGTTGTGTGTAATGGGTTGTTCTTGCCCTTCCCCAAGTAGGAGTCAGTGGGTTCAGTGTTTAAAAACCCTCCCTAGATCCCCATTAACTCAACAGTATGTAGAAGACAAATCATGCTTGATTTCTTGGGTAGGGTGTCCCAATACATTCTGATGAGAAAGGATATACACAGATGTGGGAAGCTAGCCCTTTAACTGACCAAGGGCCTACGTGCCTGTGCTAGGTATGGTCATCTTGACCTATGACCCCGAGGGAGTCACAGCCTGTGCTATGTATGGTCGTCTTGACCTACGTGACACCGCGGCAGGCAAAGCCAGTGCTATGTATGGTTATCTTGATGTATGGTTATTCTGAGAGAACATCTATCATGGCTGTCAGTAATAACAAGAAGTAACTATCTCGTGTCTGGTACGTGATACGTATAAACTTTGTAAATCATATGGACATGGCCCTTTGTGTATCTACCTCATGACTGGTAAATCATATGGACATGGCCCTTTGTGTAATCACCTCGTGTCTGGTACGAGATACACGCAAACCTTGTAATGCATGATATGTGAAAACAAACCTTCCTAACCATATATGGGCACGACCTTTTGTGTAGCTGCCTTACTAATGGATATATACCCTGATTGCCCCAAATAAAGTCTGTCCCTTTTTCTCTCTGTTTCTAAAATTCACTCTGTCTCTTGTGTCTTGTGTTCATTCGGTTGGTCCCTCCTTGCCCCTACGGACCCTAGGGCCACCTCCTCAGGCTGGAGAGTGGTCTGGCAGAGCTCCCCGCACACAGAGTCCAAGGGCTGACCATTGGAGACAGTGTGGTACAATCATATTATAACTGAAGTTCTGCAAAAGCAAGCAGGTCACACCTGGACAACAGGGGTATCTGTAGGAGTGCGTTCAAACTGGAATAAAGGAAGATGAACAATCACTTATTTTACTTCTTATTTCCAGTCATTTGAATTTTTTCAAAGGCCATACCTTGAGAAAATTTATAATTTTTCAGAGCGTAATGAAAAATGGGCTGGAGTGATAGCACAGCGGGTAGGGCCTTGCACGTGGCCGACCTGGGTTCAATTTCTCTGCCCCTCTCAGAGAGCCCAGCAAGTTACCAAGAGTATCTCGCCTGCACAGCAGAAACTGGCAAGCTACCCACATGGCATATTCGATATGTCAAAAAACAGTAACAACAAGTCTCACAATTTGTTGTGAGACGTTACGGGTGCCCACTCGAGCAAGTCGATTAACAATGGGAGGACAGTGCTACAGTGCTAATGAAAAAATAGGACGCTTCCTTCACATTTTTTTAATAGTGAAGCAAAGTAGTTTTTATTTTTTGACCCTTCATATCTTTAACATACTTCATCTTGCCTTCTTATCCATGCCCTGTATATTTCACGCCAACCCTTTTATGAAGGTGTCATGTGGGGTGGTTCTTAATTTAGCACCTGAGTGACGAGGAGTCAGCTTGTTTGTCTTGTGTACTTCTCAGAAATCTGATACTTAGTGCTCCATTTCTATGTGCTTGAAGGGGTATGACTTTTATTTTCAAAATATCACTGTCACTGTATCACTGTCATCTCGTTATTCATTGATTTGCTTGAGCGGGCGCAAGTAACGTCTGCATTCATCCTAGCCCTGAGATTTTAGTAGCCTCTCCTTACTCGTCCTTCCCAACAGTGCTGCATTGGAGGCTCTTTCAAGGTCAGGGAAATGAGACACATCATTGTTACTGTTTTTGGTATATCGAATATGCCACAGGAACTTGCCAGGCTCTACCATGCGGGCAGGATACTCTCGGTAGATTGCCAGGTTCTCCAAGAAGGAGAACTAGACTTTAAGAGGTCACGCGGATGCATAATGTGGCCATGCACTTCTGGGAGCTTTGTTTTATAGTCTCTGGATCTTGGCTGTTGATGGGATTTCATGGCGCCAGGGGCAGTTTGTGGGTGTAATCACCTAGCTACTGAAAAATGGGGAATCTGGGTGGAGGAGGCCCAGTCCCAATCTGAGCAGGCTTAGAGATTTCAGCCACGGGTCCCGCATACCTGGGTTCCTCTGCCAGTTTCTTCATGTGTGAGGCTTGTCTGAGCGTGTGGAGAGTGGCATTGAGCATGGCTGTGACTGGGTACTTGAGGTCTTCAGCTACTGGGGCTCTAGAGAAACTCAGCCCTCCCCCCTTCAATGTGAGAGGGCCCACTATGACTTTTCCCTAACTCTCCACCCACCTCTTAGTCTCCGGATCCCAGTCAATGCCAGCTTCTAAAACCATCTGCTAGGTTTGGGCCAGTCGAATATAGAAGGCCCACCCTGACCTTGCTCCAACTAACACTTTATACTTTATCCCTTATCTCTTTAATTCCCGAGTCTAAACCTACTTGCTTACTGGATTTCTGCTTTATCAGGTAAGAGATATCAATCTGACCTTTACCAACCTCCCTGGATGCTTCCTGGTCCCAGGAACTCTGTTGGTTATCACTTCTAAACTCACTCACAGAGCTTCAGTTCCATTCAGGTTAAAGTACTCACCCATTATGCCTACATACTGGTCCCCAGACCTCTTCAGATCCAGTTTCTAAACCTGCCCACCAGAATTTGGCCTCATCCAGATTAGAGGGTCCACCCTGCTTCACGCTGTCCCTTGCCTGCCTCCTGGTATCAGACTTCCTTAAGTTCCAGCTATTTAACAAGCCATTCTGACCCATGAAATTTAGGGGGGTCCACTGTAACCTTGACCACCTCCTCCAATCCCTTGTGATCCCTATATCTTAAATTTTGTTTCTAAACTAGCTTTCAGCCCCATTCTTTTTAGACTCTAACTCTTGTTCTACTCTAACCTCACCTCATATCACCTCATATCCCTAGATGCCTTCTGATCCCAGATCATTTTTGCAGTTCCTGCTATTTCACCTGTTCACCAGGCTTCAGTCCTGTCCTGATTAGATGGCCTATCCTGACTGTTGTGGCCGAACTAGACTACCAGGATGAGCCTGTGGATACTGAGCCACAAACATGCAGGAAAAAGTAAGTCACCTTTAATAATACCGAATTATTATTCCCCTTCTCGAAACCCCTTGCTTAATTCATCCTATGTCATAGAAATCGCACAAGAGCTCATGAACTAGGTAAATACCTGTATGTCTTGACTATATTTTTGGCTATACTTTATGGCATTATGTTCTTTAATTTACTCAAAAGCTATCTCTTTCAAGGAAAGTATATGGTGGTGATAAGAACATTTATATCACTATTATTAATGAATGATTAAAAATAAGCCACAGATATTTTATTTTCCAAGGTCGTGCAGTAAATCAGGATAAAGAAAGGGATTCTTTTTCTTTCCTCACAATATACACATTAGTTTACCTTTTCAAGGACAGACTTTCAAATTGTTCATCAGGTCTTTAACTCAACTGATTTAAGAGAAGAAACCTTGTGCCAATAAGGAAGGCTGTAGACACCACACAGTCATGACAGTCCCTGAGGTGTAAAACAAGACTGTATTAAAAGAAGAACTGCTTCTCTCTGGAGGATTGCCTGAGAAAAGGTCATTGAAATTTGCACAATGACTTTAATCAGTCATTTGTTATGCTTTAATTTAATCCTTACAGCGATTCAAGCTTGTGTTCATTGTTAACATCATCCAGGTAAGGTCGCAGGATTTATGAGATGTTAGACAACTTATCCCCAGGATAAAGAATCTTGTAAATTAATGTTCAGGAACACAAAATCTGGAATTACACAGAGTGTCAATATCTTCTGCTCAGTTGTGTGGGCAGGAAGTCAATGAAATAAGTGTATTTTTTCCAATTATTTTTCTTATGAAACCATCCAGTTTCTTTTTAAAAATAGTTCTTTTTTGCTTCTGTCTCTTAACATTTCTATCTAGATATATGTATAATCATATGTAGCACTGTACTGCACTGTTCTCCCATTGTTCATCGATTTTCTCGAGTGGGCACCAGTAACGTCTCCATTGTAAGACATGTTAGTTTTTTTTTTTTGGCATATTGAACACGTCAAAACTAGTTTCCAGGCTTTGCCGTGCGAGCGTGATACTCTCAGTAGCTTGCTGGGCTCTCCGAGAAGGACGGAGGAATCAAAGCGGGGTTGGCCAGGGTCGCCTGCGTGCAAGGTAAATGCCCTACCTGCTGTGCTATTGCTTCAGCCCACAATCATATGTATATATTGTAAATATATAATAAATAAATAGATATCTGTGTATATAGCTTATTAGTGGTTAAAACACTATTTACATAGCAAAATATAAAAAATGCATAGTACAGGGCCCAGAGAGTGGCTTAATAACAAAAGCTTTTTTAGTACAAGTGTGAAGCCACAAGCCCAACCCCCAGTGCTGCCCACATATGCCAATCTCAGTCCCAGCAGCTCTTTATCTGAAATCCTGTGTGCCATAATAGATTGTGTGATTCCTCAGAGCACTGAAAGTATAGTACATGGCCCTCAGAGTCACAATTTAAGATATACAAACACCACAGCCAGGAACACTACAACTAGAATATTCATGAATACCACAGCTAAGGAAGTATAACCACTTTTAAGCATATGTACAAGCACCACAACTAAATGTGTGAGCACCATAACAAGGTGTGTACACGTGTAACCAGTTCCCACCCTGTCATGGCAACAACAATAACAGCAAAGGGGAGGAAAGTGGGTGGATGTGGTAACATGCCCTTTATAAATATTAAATAAAAGTATAAACTATATGAAAGTGTAAAGTATATGTTCATACTTTATGTAATGTATATAAAGCATATAAAATATTTTAAGCCTTATTGCAGATACATAGCAAATTACTTGTCTCT